TCATGTTGTTATTCAATTACCCACTATTAATGTGGTATTATAGATTTGTCTATCATATATTCTATATGTGTGCGTGTGTGTGACTGTTTGTATCCATTTACCGAATAAGTACGCATATATTTATCTACGTTTCCAATACAGTGTTTGTTTACATCGCTGACGAGCTAGAAAATTATAGTAATTTGTTCGGTGGTGATAGCTTCCTCTTCTCGCTATCTCTCTCTCGTCTCTAAATGAAGCGTTTAGTCGTAATAACGTGAGGCACCGTGAAATATTACATTATCCCAAAGCGCTCCACATTCGGAAAAGCGACAAGAAATTCTTACCTGTTAAATAGCATTAGACAATTGTTATTGCAATATCAACCAAGGCAATCAGCCGATTACTTATCTGCCCGACGATATCGGGACATTTCCTTTTCTGACGTCAGTGGATAAATAATTATCATTATTCCATCATTTGTTTGAAACAAATATCTTCATTTTCCATATTTTTGATACAACACTTATAATACAATGTTTCTGATATCATTAGGTGATATCATTATGCGATATCATTAGGTGATATCATTATGCGATATCATTAGGTGAAGGATTGTCGTTATTCCATGAAATGTTAGACTTACTATTCGTATCCTACGTATCGTTAAACTATTTTTACGAAGTCGTATCGTTGAGTCATTGTCATTATTCCAGTTTTTGAACGAGTATCCTTATCTTTGTAATTTTTAACACTTGTTTATCTGTCAATATCTCTGAAATGAGGTATTATTATTACTTGCATTATTTACATAATTCGGACTTTTATCCCCATCTTCATTACCATATTCACAACGTTTCGGTCGTTGTACGCTCCGACCTTCTTCAGTTGATTGGAATTTCAAACCCAACCCTTTATTTTGTCCAAGTCTCAGTGGATAAAGACGTTGGTTAGAACTAGTGACTAGACCCAAAGTGTTGTGAGTTCAATACCAGGCTAGAGCAGTGATAAACCAAAACTTGGAGAGATGAGTTAAAGGGAAATAACTGAGACATCTGGAAGAGTCATGGCATGTGGAACTAGGACAATCTACCCCGGTGGACGAAATAAAGGGTTCGATTCGAAATTACAATCACCTGAAGACAGCCGGGGTGTACAGCTGACAAAACTTTGTGAATATGGCAATGAAGATGAGGATAAAAGTATGAATAATGTAAATAATGTACGTCTTGTGTTTTAACGTCTTTCCACGTTCGAACGGATACTATAACTTCGTCAATTTTAAACCCACGTATCTGAGGTCTAGAGATATGTTATTGTAGTTATGCCATCACTTGTAAGAATTAATATACTTTGTTGTGTTTAATACCATGTTCTGTGAGAATTTCTTCTCACACGGTTCAACCCTTGGCAGAGACAAGAAAAGACATACAACCAACAAGGCCTACCTTAAAACTTAAAAAAAAAATTTATTGTATCCTTGCAAAAAAAGATTTTGCCCTTTTTTGCCCCTGGGAAAAGGGTGGGGTATTTCTTCAAAGAATAGGTAGTGTCTTTTACTTCTGTAGGACTCAATTGGTCTCTACGAAGTTGGAGAAGCAGGAACTTGCTGGTCGTTGTTGGAGCATTACCATTTCGGTTGCTGAAGTTGAAACTCGGCTATTGTCGAGATCATGCAGAAAGTTCTTCGTGTAGAACGTACACATTTGACGACAGTCAATAAATGACTGAATTATACAGCCTTGAAAGTATTAAGAAGCTGGAACATGACGTCGCCTCAAGAGCATTACCATTTTGGTTGCTGAAGAAGAATCATTGCCTAATTATTTAGGCTTGATTTTGGGCGCTAAAGGCACTGCAAAGAGATTCAAAAATGAGTCCTGACATTTCCAATATTTTGCCGCAACTGACTCAAAAGGGCACGGGGGCGTTGAAAAAATGCCCGCGAAAAAACAAAGTCAAATTCAACCAATGAGATTGGTCGTTACAATTTAGCCAATAGGAGCTTAAATTGCAGAATTTCTCACAGTTCATTTGTTCTGTAAAATATTATTATTCTTCAATAATCTTGATTTTTTCCGAATCAGAATGATTATCTTAGTTAATTTTTAGAAGATGGATGGTCAAGAAGCAAAGGTTACTTAGAGCAAGAACTTACAAGGATTCTGGAGGGTCATGACTGCCAATGCCCTGAAAAGTCATGCCACATAAAAGATTATTGAAATTATTACGGAGTCGCTAACTGGGTGCCCTGTGATTGGATGAAAAGCAACCAATCACAGGCTACCTTTTTAGACTTTCACCAAATCCCCACGTGAGCGTTTTTTTACAAACGCTCTTCCTCTTTTGCTTGTCGGGAACCACAGAGATAACACGTTCACCATCTGCATTCCGTCATCTAAACATCAGGACACGTGTGAGGACTTCGACCGCAACTGAAGCACAAGAGTCAGGACTTTATTTTCTTCAACCAAGCCAAACAGGAAAGATAAAACTGTTATAAGGACGCATTTTGCAGATAAGTCCCGCAAACCGACTGTTTGCAATTTGAAACTTTACTTCTGTTTTCTTACAAATACATGTTTTTTCATACATTTTTTAACTGTGTTTGTGTTCCTTTCTTCTTGCCGGCGTCACAATATTTTTTACCTATATAATTCGGAAAATCCCAATAAGATCTTTATTTTCCGAATTCCTTACGTAAATCGTTGTCATTCTTTTACGAATTAAAAAGCTCAAGGTTGTATATTTTTAAAAACCTAGGACCATAGATAAAAAATGGGGGTCGTTTTTAAGAGATCAATGAGTAGAAATCCGATAGTTTGTAGGTTTACATTGTTAGAGTAAAGGACAGAAATACTTGAGGCCGTATCTTTGTAAAAGATTAAGTACAAGGATAAACACAAGAGATACTTTATCCTTTTAGAGTTAGAGCAGTGGTTAGACATGCGAAAGGTTGTATTATTAACAGTTAGGCCAAGGGATAGGAATGCTTATAGTTGGATGTTTTTAAAAGTTTAAGGGCAGCAAATAATTACGCCAGATGTATTTTAGTTTGAACATTAAGTAGAAATGAGAAAGGTTGCATTTTTACAGTTAGAGTAGCGGACGGAAGTGCTTGAAGTGGTATAATTTTAAAAATTTAAAGACAGGGTTTGATTTGGTTTGTTTTACGGCATAACCTCAATGGGTTATTTAATGCCGACAATTTTTTTATTTGCTGGTAATATCTTCTTTCAAAATAAACTATAGTTGGTAATATCCTTTTTTTTTCTAAAAATGTATTGCTGGTAATATTTTTTACAAAGTATTCCTGGTATATATTAAAACCTATTTTTACACTTTCATCGTGTTTTTACCCCAGTTTGGGTATCAACTATTTGCCCATAGCCCTTTCTTTGCCTCATGTTTTTTTCTACTGACTTGAAGTTGAATGACTACACCGAATCCATAGCTACATCTACTGCAAGGAAATTTGGCTCACTGTATTGTGCCAGAAAATATTTCTCGTCAGAATCCATCTTGCACTTTTACAAATCTATCATTCGCCCGTGCGTTGAATACAGTTGACTTATCTGGTTCGGTGCTCCTGATGCATATCTCGAGATTCTTGACAAAATTCTGTAATTTAATCGATCCTGACCTGGCATCTCGACTTCAGTCATTTTCTCACCGACTTGACGTGCATTAGCTATAAATATTTCCATGGTAACTGCTCTGACGAGCCTTTTTCTCTAGTGCTCCGACTACATGAATTTAAGCGTGCTACTAGATTGGCATATATGTCCCACCGTTTGCTGTTGAAATAACAACCGTCATTTCTACACCAACAGTTTATTTTCTCACACTTCCCGTATGTGGAACTCACTTCCGTTTATTTTCTTCCCTGATAATTACAATCTTCAAAAATTTAAATGCAACGTCAATCTCCATCTTCTTTCTTCTTGAATCCCGTTCATCTTTTGTCCTTTCATCAATCAGCCTTATTCTCAATCTTCTCTTTCACTTTCACAACTTGTAACCCCCTGCATACGGAAGGCAAGGCCACGTTGTTTGGGCTTAAATGATTAAAAACTTGAATAAATATGCGAGAATATGTATTTTTAAGAGTTAAAGGACTTCGAGAGGTTGTTTTAACAGTTAGAGTACGGTAGAGATATACGAGAGAATATATGTCGCTTTTTAAAATTATAGCCTTTTTACAATAGACTTTGTATTTCTTTTAATTATCTTTCAGTTCCAAAGGGATGAAATGAATGTTTATCCTAAATATTTGACTCTCCTCTATATATTTCTGGCATACATCGTTCCGATGAATTTTTATTCCTCGTATCAATATATCAGAAATGCAAAGTTACGCAATAAAAAATTAATGAATATTCAAAATAATGCTAATCTTTCTTTTGTCAATCGTACGTTCTGTTTAGGCAATCTTTTAATGAAAATGCAACATGTTCTATACAAGATAGTACGCTTTGATCTATATATATTTACGGAAGCCATTTTGTTAGAGAGTAGCCATTTTATTGCCAGAGCTGTTTTATCTGAATTCTTCTTTTCCAGACTAGAAGCAACTGCGACTGCTTTCAAGAGTCAGCACTCGAAGCCGAGAGGTCTTTCGGAAAAGACACTTTCGAAAATACAACGAGTACTTGACAGCAAACAAAAAAACTATCAGACAAAAAATACCTAGACATAATATATGTGTATACGTGTATCTAACAATGGGACTGACAGACAAAATGTTAAAGGTAAAAGAAGGAAAAGCTTTGGTGCTTCCTTGAGATTATTATGTATTTTTAAGTGGTGTCTGTGGTCAATGCTCGAACACAGGTAAAAAAAAAATCCCCAAGGTAGTTACGTCCCCTTCGCTTGGGCGACTCGTGTGACAAAGACTTCTGAACATTATCCTATTCAATATAGCCTTGTTCCGAAGGTAGAGGCTTGGAAATCGTGAAAAGAAGAATAAATGTAAGAAGAAAGAAAGATAATAGGTACTTAAAAGAAAACGAAACGAAAATTTAAAAAAAGTATAAATGTGGAGAAGGCAAACAAAAAATAAAGGAAAGAAATAAAAAAACAAAAGAAAGAAAAACACAGGAAAATAGGGAGAGGAATAAAAAAGAAAGAAAAGAAAAATAGACGAAAATAAGGGAAAGGAATAAAAAAGAAAGAAAAGAAAAATAGACGAAAATAAAGGGAAGGAATAAAAAAAGAAAGAAAAAAAAAATAGACGAAAATAAATGGAAGGAATAAAAAAAGAAAGAAAAGAAAAGAAACGCAAATAAATGGGAGAAATAAAAAAGAGAATAAATACCGAGACGAAACAAAATGAAAGACAAAAAAAGAGTAGGAATAAAAAGTAAGTGAAGGAAAACAGATGAAAATAAAGAGATGGGATAAAAAAGAAGAAAGAATAGGAAATGAAAATAAACTAAAAGAATAAAAAAAAAAACAAAGAAAGAAAAAGTGAGACTAAAATAAAGAGAATAAAAAACGAAGAAACAAAATGAGAGACTAAAATAAAAAGAAAGAATAAAAAAACGAAGAAAGAAAAAGAGAGACTAAAATAAAGAGAAAGAATAAAAAAATCGAAGAAAAAGAGAGACTAAAATAAAGAGAAAGAATAAAAAAATCGAAGAAAAAGAGAGACTAAAATAAAGAGAAAGAATAAAAAAAAACGAAGAAAGAAAAAGGGAGACTTAAATAAAGAGAAAGAATTAAAAAAACTAAAGAAAGAAAAAGAGAGACTAAAGTAAAGTCAAGGAATGAAAAACCGAAGAAAGAAAAAGAGAGTTTAAAATAAAGAAAAAGAATAAAAAAAAACGTAGAAAAAAAGCAGAGACTAAAATATAGAGAAAGAATAAAAAAACCAAAAAAGAATAAGAGAGACTAAAATAAAGTGAAAGAATAAAAAACCGAAGAAAAAAAAGAGTGACTATTTTAAAGAGAAAAATTTTTTTAAAAAAAACAATGAAAGAAAAAGAGAGACTAAAATAACGTGAAGAAATATAAAACCGAAGAAAGAAAAAGAGAGACTAAAATAAAGAGAAAGAATTAAAAAAACGAAGAAAGAAAAAGAGAGACTAAAATAAAGAGAAAGAATTAAAAAAACGAAGAAAAAGAGAGACTAAAATAAAGTAAAGGAATAAAAAAAAACCCGCAGAAAGAAAAAGAGAGACTTAAATAAAGAGAAAGAATAAAAAAACCGAAGACAGAAAAAGAGAGACTTAAATAAAGTGAAGGAATAAAAAAAACGCAGAAAGAAAAAGAGAGTCTAAAATAAAGAGAAAGTATAAAAAAAAACGAAGAAAGAAAAAGAGAGACTAAAATATAGAGAAAGAATAAAAAAAAACGAAGAAAGTAAAAAAGAGACTAAAATAAAGAGAAAGAATAAAAAAAACAAAGAAAGAAAAAGAGAGACTTAAATAAAGAGAAAGAATAAAAAAAAAACGAAGAAAGAAAAAGAGAGACTAATATAAAGAGAAAGAATAAAAAAACCGAAGACAGAAAAAGAGAGACTAATATAAAGAGAAAGAATAAAAAAACCGAAGAAAGAAAAAGAGAGACTAATATAAAGAGAAAGAATAAAAAAAACCGAAGAAAGAAAAAGAGAGACTAATATAAAGAGAAAGAATAAAAAAAAAAACGAAGAAAGTAAAAAAGAGACTAAAATAAAGAGAAAGAATAAAAAAACAAAGAAAGAAAAAGAGAGACTAATATAAAGAGAAAGAATTAAATATCGAAGAAAGAAAAAGAGAGACTAATATAAAGAGAAAGAATAAAAAAACCGAAGAAAGAAAAAGAGAGACTAATATAAAGAGAAAGAATAAAAAAACCGAAGAAAGAAAAAGAGAGACTAATATAAAGAGAAAGAATAAAAAAACCGAAGAAAGAAAAAGAGAGACTAATATAAAGAGAAAGAATAAAAAAAAACGAAGAAAGTAAAAAAGAGACTAAAATAAAGAGAAAGAATAAAAAAAACAAAGAAAGAAAAAGAGAGACTAATATAAAGAGAAAGAATTAAATATCGAAGAAAGAAAAAGAGAGACTAATATAAAGAGAACTAAATAAAGAGAAAGAATAAAAAACATAAATCAGAGTAAATAAATAAAATTAAACTGAGATAAATATAATGAGAAAGATAAAGAAATAAGAAGAAAAAAATGAAATAAGGAGTAAATAGTTAGTCTAAAATAAAGAGAGGTTTTAAAGAAAAAGAAAAAAAGAGAGGTAAATAAATTCTATCAAAACTGGAATGTGAGATTTTCTCAGCTGCATCCCAGATATGACTGCAATATTCCATTTTTGGCCTTATCTTACTCATGTAATGATAAAGCAAGTCAGAAATTATTCCTGGAATGATAGAATGCGCTAACCATTATTCTAGTCTCTCCTCATTTGACTTTAATGCAACAAGCTTGGATGAAATATTCTTTCCACTTTTCACAAGACTTGGACTCGTTTCACTGTAAAGTTTTTTTGTTTTGTTTTTTATTGCTATAATAATTATTTTAATGGCAACTGAAATTAAAGTTTGTTACAAGTGAATGATGTTATATTACATACATTACTTTGCGAACAGTTGAATAACATCGAAAATGGAAGAAAACGAATTGCTTATATTTTTATCTATATCAACGTAGGTTGGGCTAATGTTGAGAAAGAATTAAGCGTAGAGAAATAGAATAAAGACTGCCAACGCTTTAACAAAGAAAAAAAATAATCTAAAAACTGAATTATAAATCCTAAATGGGAGCAAATGACGACAGGCGAAGCATTCCCGCGTTCTGCACACGACTTTCTCGACAAAATTCGTCAGTAATGTCCTCGTGATGATGGCCTCCAATCTTGTTAACGCGATAGGCACGGTGAATCGTTGTTCTATCTGAAGAAGAAAAAAAATTCTTTTTTTTTTTTTTAAAGCGGCAGGATCATTAACCTCGTTTTGAAGATCAGCACATCCGGGCTTAATGGCCTGAATGATCGATTCAATCTTGCTTCATTCTTTTATCCAAGCAAAGTTAGGATTAGTTTCGCGCCTTTACACACCAACTCCCAAGTAACCGTTTTCCCGACATTGGTTTCCATCGACGCTACCCACCCCACGAGGGAAATCCGTGTGGACCATTACGAAGAAACCGAGTAATATAAGTAATATATTTATCTGTTACCTATATATATATTAAGATATATATATATATATATATATATATATATATATATATATATATATATCATTCTCTTTGTCACTCCCTTTCTTTTTTTTTGTTTTCTTATACTTTTCTTCATTTAAATCGTATTTGTTTCTTCCATTTATGTATTATATTTTCTGTCCTTGCCTATTTTTACTCTTTGTCGATTCTTGTCATGTTTCTCTCTTCTTTCTTTCTTGAGAGTTTCAATCTATTTGTATTTTTCCTAATTATCATACACTTCAACCTGAAAATCTACAGTTGGTGTGTCCTCATCGTAAATCAAATAGTCCTAGGTATGATGATAAACTACATCCGGCAGTAAGGCCACTGATCAGGAAATTGGAAGTTTTAAGGAGCTATTGTTTCAAGGTCCATCCTGGCTCGGGTTGGCACCACCCGTTAGGGTCAAAAATTCCCTGTAAGCCCCGTATAAAACGGGGTTGTGTAGCTGTTTCCCGAGACGAGATTCTGCACTTCGACATAGTCTCGTCTGGAGATCATCTCTACTCAGAGGCAGAGAGTTTGGCCGGCACAGCTGGAACAGATTTATTCGACTGTTATATTTACCAGCCTCCCCACGAGGTAGGATAACACAAGGCCGAGTTTAATGTGGGGCAATCCGAGCCTGTAGCCTCGGCCAAAAATTCTCCATAGGGAACAGATCTATTCGACTGTTCCCCCAAGGCCTTCTCTCCTACTAATCTTATAGTAGGCGGAAGAGTCCAACATAGACTCTTTGGAGGGAGGACACCACAACAGTAACCCAGAGAGACTGATACGCCACTAAACAAAATCAAGCAACCAACAATATCAATTTATAGTAAAATTATCAAGAATACCTATTTATAATAAAAGGACCAACAATATATATTTAAAGCAAAATTACTAACTATATTCTTATCTGTAGTTGAAGGCATACCATTACGTTCGAAATATATTTAGTTGAAATCATAAAATTGTGTTCAAAATATTTAAATTTCGGCAATAAAAAAAACGAAAAAAGAAAAAGAGAAACTAAAATAAAGGGAAGGAATAATTCACCTTCTCATAGATTGGTTGCCAACCAAGACTAGAAAGTCCAGTATACCTTTCCTATGTGACCTGGTGGGGAGAAGATGTGTACATTTTGTGAGAAAGTAGGCGCAATAGGCTAGGCCGGGATTTGAACTCGATTCACTGATTTCACTTTACACGCCTATAACAATTCCAATACACACATATCCTTCATATACGTTAATTCAAAGAAACTACTGAGGCCTAATTTCGTATAAGATGTTTTTAAACTAATTGTGAGGGCGATGAAAAGTGAATTATATCAGCACAGGGAAAGCGAAATTAATCGTTGCAGAAAAGACAAGTCAGAAACAAGTTCTTTACTATAAGATACTTCTGGAAAAAAACAAACGACTGATTCAAATAAGTACTGTTTCCAATCATACGAATTGAATGTAGTCATTAATGAAAAGAGAGGAATGGTGGAGTAATGGATAGCGGCCCGGATTGAGGAATCGGAGATCCAAGTTCGAATTCCACTCGAATCCATTACATTCACTTACGTGCTAATACCCTTGGGAAACGTATGTATTCTCTTCTTCTCCCCCCGCCAGCTATGGGTAAATAGCAGGACAGACCGGGTTCTATAGCCTTGGTTAGCAACTAGTCTACCACAGAAAGAAATGGCAGCCTACTGCGGGAAAAATCTGCCTCGTCCGTCATGTATTAAAAGATACATGATCGCCTAAGCATGTATCACGCATGGCACATAACTGACTGAATTAATGAAAGGCTTCTGGAATTACTGGAGAAAAAGTGTGTACTGTCAAATAATTTAAAGACGTCGTATGCAAACATTTTTAATCGTATGTGGTATTTCCAAACATTGATCATTTCTCCGGGGTTTTTGTTTTTTTAAGATGGAAGAATGAAAAAGTGCCTAAAGCAGTTCTGTGCCCAGAAATATGAACAATTCTGCGATGAGAGGATTATGAAGTTGTCTGATAGAAAATAGAAGACAGAATGGTAAATTCTTTGCTCAATAAAACGAATAGCGAAAGTCAGATCTTGAAAATATTATTACTTAATACGAAAAGAATGTATCGTCGAATAAATATTTCATAACGATGCCAAAGGTCAGTGGCACAAGCCTAGAATTTCGAACGATATTTTTACATAAACATGCTGCCCTCATTTTGAACTTTGCTATAATTCAAAGTTTCTATACGCACAAACCATGAAGTTGTGTAAAGTAATGAACACCCACGTCCTAAAGGCTCTTAACATATAAAAGAATATCTGTCTCTATCCTTGTGATGAGGTATTGTAACTATTTACCTTGTTCGGACTGTTTTCTTCATCTTCATTTTTGTTGTCATATATACGACGTTTCAGCTGTTGTACGCTCCGATCTTCTTCAGGTGATATACGATGGAATTTCGAACCGATCCCTTTATTTAGTCCACTGGCTAGATTATTCTAGTTCCACGTGCCATTCCTTTTCTGGGTATCTCAGTTTCTGTTATTTCCCTTTAATAACTCTCCAAGTTTTTGTTCACCTCTTCATAACTCTTTGGGTCATGTCACTTCGGGATTATTTCAACCAATGATTTATGCGCTGGGCTATGTGTCTGAAACGTCGTCATATGATAATAAAAATGAGAACAATCTAAACAATGTAAATAGCGTAAATAATTACAATACCTCATCTCAAAAACATAAACAAATCCTGAAGAGGGCTGAAGCTTACAACGGCCGAAATGTCGTGAATATGATAATAAAGATGATGACAGCAGTCCGAACAATGTAAATAGTGTAAATATATAAAAGATTACTTTGCTTGGTATTGTAAAGAAAAATGGCTGTACGTGTAGAAACTCTGACTTGTGTCAGACATACAAAATGGAGTCGACCTGTTTATTTAAAATATTAGGTTGTCCCAAAAGTTCGTAAACACTTGCAAAAAATTGAAATTTTACTCGCCAAGTAATAACAAAAACAACAAAAATTATTCCTCAAAATAAAGACCATCATCTGTTTACGAACTTTTGGGACAACCTAATATATTATTCTAAATTCCGGGCTTATACTACCGAACTCTGACATCGTTATGAAATAGTTATAAACCAACAAAACGGTTATTATTTATCATCTGGTTGTTATGTGGTGTTGCAGATAATACTAATTAAAACTGTGAGTTCGGGGTCAAATGTTGATCAAATATGGATCGGAATCCGACAGAAGGATAAGATAAAGAATAAGCAAAGTGTATACAGTCTTTCTCGTTTGTTTTTTGTTTTGTTTTTTCTTTATAAATGTGTGTAATGAATGTCCGCATAATTTAATTTGAAAAGATACAAAACATGTCTGGAATTTTCTCAACTCGAATTTTTGTTCAGTGTTAACACCTGTTACCATTATAGTCTGAAATGAAAAGATGGAATTTTCGTTGACGCACGTGTCAACGACCTGTCCGTGTGAATTGCTTGTCCGAATGTGACTTTGTAGTAGAATAACGGGGTCAATTCTCATTGCTTTAGAAAGAGTGAATTAATGATAATTATACTTGCTATAATTATTTCATTATAATTATTTTTGAGACTGTAATTCATTTTTATTTATTTATTTTTATGAACACGATAGATAAATAGATATGAAAAAGATTTCGATACATAAGGAACAGATTTAGATAGATAGATAGATAGATAGATATGAACAGACTAAGATAGATAGATAGATAGATAGATAGATAGATAGATAGATAGAACAAATAGAAAACGTTTATGAATCTAGCATTTTCAGTTTTATTAAAGCCTCGTCAAACACTGAGATATGGAAAAAAGGAAGAAATAATTTCTGGTAGTTTTACTTTGTGTGCTTTGATTTTAATTTGACAATCATGTTTCACGTGCATTCGACGTCTTAAAGAAACGTTAGTATAATTTGCCGCGTTCCGATTTCAGTAAGAGGTGTTGGGTCATTCCGAAGTTTCAAGAAATTAATGAATTACAAGCCTACCTGAAAAATCGGAAATATTTGCTTTTTGTATGTAAGTGTGTACTTTGTATATGTGGGTAGCAGATGAGAATGTATATTCGTAAGTGTGTGAGGGGTTCGGGGCGTCTAGTACACATTATGTTTGGTTGTGAAGATAGATAGATAGATAGATAGATAGATAGATAGATAGATAGATAGATAGATAGATAGATCTTCCTTTTTTCTTCCTTCCATTTTTTCATTGCTCAATTTCTTCCTTTCTATTTTTTATTTCTTCTTTCCTTTCTTTCTTTTCGTTCTTTTTTCTTTTTTTCTTTCTTTTCTTCCTTTCTTTCTTTCTTTCTTTCTTTCTTTCTTTCTTTCTTTATTTCTTTATTTTATTTTCGGCTTGGATTTTTTTTTTCGAACTTGACTATTCAGTCAATGGCATCGACTCTTCCATGCAAGAATTGCTTTACTTAGCCATCAATATCATCATCTTGAAGGAAACGATCAGGAAAAAAGAAATTAAATTCTTGGATACGAGATAAAGCACACGATGACAAATGACGAATGAATGCCCAATGAGGGTATATAGGAAAGATTAACCCTAAATTTGGAGAGATTAAGATTATAATAATCCCCTCTTAAGTCTCTCAAAAAAAGTAGCGGTTCTTGCCAAGAAGGTGTTAGTGGGGAATTTACCTCTTACTCATGAATGAAACTAGATGGGAAAATAATGGGGACTTCATAAGCGAATGAAAAATGAATGATGAGTAAGACTAAGGCCTGGATAAATGTGTTCTGTGATACTGTCATGTGCCTGACAGAATTCTTTTAGTTAGGCTGAAAGGGAAGCCCTTCAGTATATTCACAGGTTAATGGCACGGAAGAAAAGTTGATAAGTTCTATAACACACTGGATAACGCCCATCTTGGATTTATGGATAAACTATATTCGGCAGCAAGGCCTATGATCGAGAGGATTTGATGATCGTGAAACCACCTCTTAATTGCTGTTGTTCCAAGGTCCTCTCTGACCTGGAGTGATCTCATTTATTAGAGCCCCATCTATGGAAAAATAATTAGCCCCCAAACTGGCGTTAATTCACTATGAAAGTTTAAAATATATTTTTATAGTAAAACTGCCAGCAATACATTTGCATAGTAAGGAAAATTAACAGTAATACATTTAAAAAAAAAAAATATTACCAGCAATACACTTCTGGAAGAAAAAAACATTGTCACCAATACATTTTTAGAAAAAAAAACATATTACTAGCAATACATAAAAATAATGCAAGCTATACATTTTGGAAAAAAAAGAAAATATTTCGAGCTAACATTCTTCTTAAAAGAAATACAATTCTGTAAAAAAGAAAATTACCAGCAGTACATTTTTGTAAAAGAAATCACTAATGCTCCCCCAAAATTAAAATTGAGCATTAAATGATCCATAGAGTGTTGATATGCCGCTAAAGAAACAAATTCTGAAACTCTCGATAATGCCAATATTCAATGCAAATCGCAGGAAATTTCTATTATCTTGTGTTATAGACGTAAATGGGTTATAGATCTGAATAACTTGTATGGAAATGGGTTATAGATCTAAATAGCTTATAGAACTAAATGTGTTATAGATATAAATGGGTTATAGATACATTATATTTTAAATGATATACGAATGAAATTGAAAAATATATACACAGGTACGATACAAAAAAAATTAAAAAACGAACATTTATTTCGCTCCATTCTAATATTTTCGAATTTCTTTGTTATTCTGAATTAAGAGGTCCCCATTTGTCAGATGGCGTTGTCAATATTCTTGTATATAAAAGTCACTGTTTCTAAACGTGTATTACCATAAAAAACAGAACTTCCAGATCAAGTCCTTCCGTTATGAGGAACTCTCCCCTGCCACCATCACCATTTCAAGCGGACGTTGAAGGCGTCCGTGTTAATTCTCCCTTCATATCAAGTACGATGCTCTATGGCCGAACCTGATAAGGCATCGATGTGACGTCTGGGTAAAAGGGGACGGAGAGTAAGGAAAGGAAAACAAAGCAGAAGAAGGAAAGAAAGAACAAGGCACAAATGTTTGAAAGAATCCAGGAAACATGCTTGCATCCAGAAGTTGCAGACGGCAGTTAATCGGAGAGTCGATTGGTCGCAGAATGAGTCTATTGTCCGAGCAGCGACAGTTATGCGCCTAAATCAATTCAGTCGTCCATCGGGACGAAGTGTTGGTGGGGGTTAGTGAATTGATAGGAAGTAGACATGATGGCGTTTCTATCGCGAGAGCAGAAGTCACGTACACCGCGAGAACTGGCAAAATGTTTAAGAGGACACATGTAATTCTGGCACATTAATGCATTGCATTTATTTATGCGATTTGTGTTGTGCAATATGAGAAGAAAGAAAGAAAAGGGATAAGAAAGAAAGAAAGAAAGAAAGAAAGAAAGAAAGAAAGAAAGAAAGAACAGGCGAAAAAGAAAGAAAGAAAGAACTAAAAAAAGGATGGTATAGAAGAAAGAACAGGACTGAAAGAAAGAAATAAAAGAAGAAAGAAAGAGACAAACAAAGAAGAGGACTACAAGAGAAGAAAGAGAAAAAGAAAGAAAGAAAGAAAGAAAGAAAGAAAGAAAGAAATGCTGAGGCAAAAGAAAGAAAATGACCGATACAGAAGAAAGAAAGAAAGAAAGAAAGAAAGAAGGAATGAAAGCGTATATATATATATATAGAGAGAGAGATGGAAAAGGTAAATGAAAGATGGTAAGGCGATGAAAATTTTGAAAGGGAATAGATGGTGCATTCACAATCCTAACTTGAATTTCGTGATGAAAGAATTGAAAAAAAAATATTTTGCTAACATGAAGAAGCGAAAAGGAAAAGTAATTAAATTACACACACACACACACACACACACACACACACGCATGCACACATACTCAGGAACACACATACGCACACACATACACCCACACATGCACAAATATTTATAATAGTGAACTATTTACGTCGAGTCAAAACACAACAGACATGATCTGAAGATTGTGTTTAAGCATGAAACAGACTGTCGCCACTTGTTGATGATCTCAGTGTCAGCATACTCCATCTATATCTACATACGCTCTCGCTCTCTCTCTCTCTCTCTCATATATTGTGCACTTTTACCCATAAATATAGTGCACTTTAAAACATATTTTTATCATATATATAATATATACATAGCTATGTGTGTGTGTAGTAGTAGTAGGTGTAGTAGTAGTAGTAGTAGTAAGAGTAGGAGGAGGAAAATTAAAACGGTTAAAAGACTCACGAAGGAATAAGAAAGAGATTTTAGCATCCATTCGTTGCGATTTTTTCACCTACAGCTGTCAATTCATCGGTTATTTGTTTGGATATTCTCTGCAAGTCTCACTGTCATGCCTGCTCGTCTTTCAAAAAAGAAATTCGTTTACAATCTCTTCTATATATTTACTTACAAATTGTATCAATCTTTAACCGTCTTTTTTTAATAATCGTGCGTATATTTGACTCAAGTGTTGTCCTATCCTTCACCATTTTTATGGCAATTAACGATGCCATTTTTTAAAGGCAACACTGTCTCCTTTTCTCTTTCTGATGTTCATAGTTGTTGCATGACTGAGAGACAAAACTGTATTCCTAGCAAAATTAATTCTTTTCAAATCTGTAGTGCTTCGCATAGAATTCTCTAGAAGAGAATTTTTGAAACTATGTTAATAAACTTTTCATAAATCCAGCAATGTTTGTTTTAAAACTGTAAACGGTTCAATAATTTTTCTTACTATTTATTGCTTTTCGGTTTTATTTAGATAATTTTCAAAGATTTTTGTTAGACGCAATGTATTTAAAGTTATCAAAATATTGCTTTTTTTTTTTTATTAACCATTTGCAAATTTAATTATAACCATAAAACTATTTTTTCTATTGAACCGTGCCAATAATTTTGACGATGACTTCAACTATTATGAGATACGGAAAAGCAAAGTAAAAGAGATAATGTTATGAAACCAGAGGTCGGTCAGTAGAGATGGGAGATTTTGGAAGACTCCTGCAAAAAGAGCTAAAATGCGTCAATTGTGAAAAGTAATTGTTTTTGTTGTTATTAAAAAGAATATAAAATTCACATAAAATTCAGAATAAATCAAAAATCTGCTGACTAAAACAAAAACAATATCCTGAAAACTGAAAGTTCACGGAAAGCAGAAATGTCTTCGTAAGATAGCAAAATTACGCTTAACTGATATTTAAAATGGGATTTAAAGAAAAATGAGAATTGACAAAGATGAACGTTGCCAAATGGATTCTGTCCTAATTCCTTTCAGTTTCAAAAGCGCAGAAGAATTCAGGGGATTTGAGTAGGAAATTGGTTTAAGGGATTCGAATTTTTACACCTCCGTGAGGGTTAGGTCAATTTGTGACTATTAGATCGAAATCAGATCACAGCCAATTGGCGGGAAATTCAATTCTCTATCATGTAGTAATGATGTTGTGTAGAAGCAGTGCATGATTCTTCTTCTTCTTCTTCTTCTTCTTCTTCTTCTTCTTCTTCTATGTGCCGTGTCCATTCTGGACGTTGACGATCATGATTCACCACAATTTCCAATACTTTGTAGCCTTTAATAGCTTTTCTCTTTTTGCCATCTCTCCCTAACCCTGCTCCGTCATCCATCCACTCAAGCCCACCAGCTAGGTTATACGTTTATTTCCTCTGCCCCCCCTTGCCTTCAGTCTGTACTGTGTGTATCAGATTTTCCAAGCCCTCTCTTCTCATTATGTGTCCCAGATATTTCAAATGTATATCCTTGATGTTAAACATGTGTCTTCTATGTGGACATTGTCTCTAGAAATTCATCGTTGTTCATATGTTCGGACTATGGTATTCTCAGCATCCTTCTGTAGAACCACATTTCTGTTGAATCGTCTCTTCTTTATCTGAGCTCTAAACCTTTGGGTGACATAAGCCTTCGTTCGCATCACTTATGCGGGAAGAAAGGAAACTAACATATTTTACTTTCAGGCAGAAAATTGCCAAACCGGAAGTCGGGTGAAATACGCAAAAACTGACATTTCCAAAGAAGATAAAGCAAAAATAACGACAGCTTTGTAGTAGAGAAAAAGAAAATGTATTTTTATTTGTACTCAGTAACCTTATTCTTCTCCATCCATTTTCCATGCTCCAGGGCTAGTTCATCTCACTTAATATTGACACTTTTGTATTGGTAGGTC